ATAATAAAATATTATAGAATACTACAAATTTCAAAATGACTTACTAACATATTAATTGAATGATTTGTTAATCAAATTAATATAATAAAATATTAAAGAATACAACAAATTTCAAAATTACTTATTGACATATTAGAATAACGAAACACACACAAAAATGTGTTCAGACAATTGGTATAATAAATATGCAAATTAACAACGATGTTTAAAAAAAAAATGGATCTCTAAAGACAACTCATTGTCGGCGTTAGTTTCTATCCTGTCCTCGGAATGTAAACGAAACGTGTCTTGAGAATAAATATCTTTTCTAAAGATGAGATATCAAATCGGCATAATTATGCATCATCGTTGGCAATGAGTTCTGAAACTAACAAGATGACCACAGCTAAACTCTTCTTTGAATCTTACGTTATAATTTTCGTGGAAATCTTACGTATACATTCAAAAGTATATATATGTAAATGTAAATGTATACTCGTGCATCTGTAAAGATCTAATTACGTGTTCCTACTTATATGTGTATGTGTATTACGTATATTTAATAGAATGTAGAACTATTGCATTCACGTGCATGAATTCTCTTATTACCATTTTCTGTTTCAGACATTTTTATGTATGATATATGTGTGTTATATACTTATGTGTTATACGTAAATACATATGTTGCATGTATGTGTTAGAAAGACTACACTGAAGCTTCTATTTATAAGACTTACACCGGAACTTGACTTTCCGTCTGCACGAAACTATACGAATTGACGCAATACTGTTTTGTCACCTTCTTTTATCTCTTCGTCATTTCAGGAAGTTTGGAAAACGTGGTTGAAAGAAGACGACTTTAGAATGGTTGATATATAGATATATATGTGTGTTTGTGTGTGAAAGTATTCAAACGAAGGAGAGACTAATGTGGGTATGTAAATAGAAAATTGTTGTTGTTTTTATCATTGTGTATGATTTAATATTTTGAATTCTTTATCTGTGTTTATCTTTTAATATATATAGATATATATAATATAATATTATGTAATAATAATAATAATATTATAATAATAATATATATAATATTAATATAATATTAATTAAGTATAATTAATATTATATATATATTAATTTTCTACTAAATAAAATGATTTCAATAAATAGAACAATGTAAGATAAATTGAAATAATTATTATTATTTATAATATTATAAGAAATTTCTTTGTAAAAGCATTCTGTCTTATCGTTTAGATACATTTCTTATTATTTGATTTTTCTTGTACTCTTTTCTAGAAATATATCTTTATCATAAGTATAATAATATTTGTTTATCATATCAAATAATAGTTGATTTGGATCGTCTGTAAGTAGTACACACTTTGAACTACTTAAATCATGTTTAATAATTCTAAAAAATAGAAGAAACAAAAGTTCTCAATAAGAAAAATGTGTAATAATTCTGAAAAAAAAAAAAATTAAAATACATACTCAGAATGAAGAACTGTTAATTGAAGTCTTATCTTCCTATATTTGCTATATCCAATATACATTCACTCATAAAATATAAAAACTTATATCAACAAAAAGATAACTAACACAGAAGCACAATAAATCACACACAATTTTTCACAATCAATCCTTCTCACACAAGCATTCACTGTCATTCATTATAAAATCACGAAAAAAATGATAGGGTTGAAAAAAATTAAATGTTTTTTTAAGTAAATATTTGATGATGTGATCCATGAAAATAAGTAATAAGACTCACGATTCAGAGAGATTAAGAAGAATAAAAAGAATAATAATAATAATAATAATAAAAATCAAATTAAGATGAATAAAAAGAAAAAGAGCTGTCAATTTACCACGGTACTGTTGTGAATCATGTCTATTTCGGGAAACACCCGTTGGGTGTCCCTCTGCTCTCTCATACAGTTATGTATGTTCCATAATTTTGAGGTTAACTCGTTCCAAATAAACGAGATTAATAATTAAAATTTACAAGAATAATTTTACTAGAAAATTACAATTGTACAAATCAAAATAAAATATAATTTTGTCATTGCAATAAATGAAAAATATTTGTTTTTCGGTAATTCGAAAGCACCACGAAGAATAAATTCTCGAAAAAGGTAGAAGTAGTAGTAGTAGTAGTAGTAGTACGCCCATTCGTTGAAGTTTCTCTATCCAGTTGAAAACGAACCGAATCGAACGAATAATTCGAATAAATTCGATTTCAAATTCGCGAGAGATCGAACGAACTAATTGAAGTTAACTGTTACTCACTGTTTAAAACTAGATCCACAAAACACGAAATGGTCCTCTATATTTTTTTCTATCTTTTTTTTCCTTATTTTCTTTGCAGATATTTAACTCGCCAACTCTGAACCACGACAGACAAGTCCGACGACAACACTTGCGACTCCGCCGTTCCGGTTTCGATCGTTCCTGGCCTTCTGGCATCAGGAACGGCACTAGCATTGTGTTTTTGGTGGTATCTTTGGCACCCTACTTACTTTCATAGTAGCATTTGATTTTTTTTTTTTTTAAATTTCTATCTTAACGATTTTGGTAAGCTTAAAATGGACGTTTGAAATATTCTGTAAAGTAATTTGCAATGAAAAATGTTTAAGTTTAGATTATTTTTTTTTTTTTACTAAGGTAATGCATCGAAATTATTGTCAATGCGTCATTCTTCTGACTCATTCATTATTCAAAGAAAAATTGTATGTATATTACGATATTGTATTGCATTGGTAAACGAACGTGAGTTCGTGCTTAAACCTTTATTATATTCTTTTTTATTTTTATAAGTATTTTCTTACTCATAGTTTTAGTCAAATTGATCGTTGATTTGTAAAAAGAAAAAGAAAAAGATCAATGGGTATTATAAAATCATCATACATCACTGTGAATATACAAATAGCTAATTCAAATAAACACTGTGCGTATGGAACTACGGGAAAAAGGGAATTGGACGTGTCGTAAACTATTCGCACAACGTTAAACTTATAATCAATTTGTATAAATACAAATCTTAGAAACAATGAAGAACAATAAAGAATCGTTGTCTTAGAAATAGATGAAAGAAAGTAAAAAAAAGACTACGGTTTGGTTAGTTAAACGTTAAAGTATCGTGAAATCGATAAAAAGATGTTTTCCGTGAGTTAGAACGAACGAAGGAAGAAAAACCATTCTGATGGTCTTTTTAAAAAGAATGGCGCGAGATCGAGACCGCGCCAAATTTGGTCATGGCGGCTTTCATATAAAGAGAGAGAGATAGGTTGGTTCCGTAGCACGCAATGATGCAATGTAAAGTTATACAGTAACCAGTTTTCTACCTCGTCCTTTCCTAATATTTCTATCTTTTCTTGTCTATCTTTTTTTCTTCTTTATTTGTCTTTTCCTTTTATTGTTTTTCGATAACGAAAGTTCTTAGAATTTTGTTTCATTTCATATTACTCTCGTAGTAGTACTACTACGACTACGTAGTACAACAAAGTATACATATCAAATAAAACGATTATAGTTACTATCGTGCTTGGTGTATTCGATCTTATAAAACTCAATCAAGATGCAAAAGACGCGATAATGGCACGTTTGCGTTTTCCGGTGATTATTCGTCCACCTCGAGGATGTACGCGGTCGCATTATGGACTTCCTGTGGGTGAGTTATGACAAGGAAGTCTGTTAAATAATTTTCTTTATCTAAATAATTCATCTAACTTGGTTTTGTTTTTTTTTTTTTTTCCTTAAATGATACTACAAAAAGTAAAAGAAAACTTTTTCCTTTATTTTTATTTCTCATTACTCTCACGTATCATCGTCCCACGATGAAATTCGAACATACGTGAAACACATTTTACTACGTAACGGTACGTCGACCTTGAATGAAGATCTCAAACAGTATCACACATGTGATACAACGATTGGAAAAGAATGTTTGCGTAAATTGACAAGTTCGAGTATGGTTGTCCGTGATTATTCTATCATTTGCACATTCCATGCATATATCACGGTCGATACGTAGGTGATAAAACAAGGTTAAAAATTCGAACGTTTTAAACATTCAACTTGTATCAGTTTCCGACTGATTTCAATATATTATGTCTACAAGTATTGCTATTTTATTTGATGATTTTATTTTTTTGATGTGTAAATTTCTTTACAATCAGGGTCATTTAAAAACGGATGAAACGATGAAACAAAAAATTCTCTATAATTATTTATTACATTAACCCTTCGCACTCGAGCGGAAGTCAAATGCCAAATTAGTGTCCGGCAGATTTAAAGTGGCAACTTGAATGGCGCTGATATGACGCTCGGCTTTTTTTACTCTATTTGCTTATTTACGATGTGTAATAAGATATTTCTTTTAAGATATACTTCAAGATAATACTTAAAGGGTCGAAAAGATAGTGAAAGGTTTGCTCAAACAAGTTGCTGGTTAGCGCAAGTGAAAAAGGCTTCGAGTGCAAAGGTTTAATAATGAGATTGTCAATGTAGAATTTATAAAAATATATCATTTACTAGGGTTGCTCCGCCACACGTTGCTGTAGCTCACAATCAGTCCGAAACTATCCTATCTTTCAAGTTGGATGAAATTTCACACAGTGTGCAAAATTTCTATTAAAATCGGTTCAGTAATTTAGGAGTCCATTGCGAACAAACAACGTGACACGTAATTTATATATATTAATAAGATAATATCAAGAGAGCTTTTAGGATATTTCAATACTTACGTATAAAATATTATTGGTTTGAGTAGAAAGTTTCTTAGTATTTGTTTGATAGATCATTTTTCAAAGTTTTGCATAACTCTGATGATATTGAAAATTATCAAACGAAACTTTATACTCGTACCAACTGTATAAGAATATAAAAAAGAAAAAAAAAATGAAGAAGAAAATAGGCAGTATCATGTATAAGTTGATAATCATTTTTAATTGTTTGCAATAGAAAAACAATGTACAGACGCAGAATTATTCGTATCTAACGTGTTGACGAAAATTCCTAGGTAAAATCTTAATCGGATAGTGTGAAAAATCAACTAAAATATGTCAAATAATACACTTTTAAAGGAAGTGTCTTATCTTGTTTTCTCTCTTTTTTTACCTATTCGCTTATCGTTTAAGTTTCGTTTATCTAATTACAATGATTGAGTTATTTAATTATAATTTATGTATCTGTATAGACACACAGGTGTGTATGTAAGTAAATGGAGATTCTTAAATGCTACACAATGTTTTCATTTATTTTTTCATTATTTTTTCTTCTTTTCTTGTTTTTTTTCTTTTCTTTTCTTTTCTTCCTTTACTTTGGTTTTAAATTAAGGACTAGTGTTTTGAGCTTCGCTCTGTCCTTATGTATTTATTTATATATATATTTATATTTATATATATATGAGTGTGTGTATGTATTTTTAAGTATAGGGGATTTTTATTTAACGCAAATTGCAATTCTAATAAAAGTCGCTCGATTTTTTTCTTTTCTCTTTACTTTTCCATTACCGGAAAAAATAAATTTATATCGTGGAATAAAAAATAAAATAAAAAAAATGGAAAAAACGTTTAATCATATTTATGGATTTGACGTTGAAATATTTTCTATAAAAAATACAAAATACAATAGCAATTGTATATTTATATTGGAATGTGTGATACTCGTTTGTATAATCGCGACAAATTAATATCATATTCAGGATAATATATAACTTCGTCATATAATAATAATAATAATAATAATAATAATAATAATATTATAAAATAAGTATTATGATATAATAATAATCGATATAAATTGTAAATTGAGCAATATTACGTAATAATGTTCTTACATATTATTAATATACAATATAAGAAGATCTAATAATATTTTATGGTGCGATGAAGGCACAAGGCGTGTGTTTATTAAATCTTGTGCGAGTTGCAGTGAAATAACGGCACACAAAATGGGTGGATTAATGTGGGGACTGGGAGAGGACAGGGAGGGTTATAGGATCAATGTAGATGTAAAATAACACGAAATATCTAAAAAAAAAAAAAAAACGAAAAGGTAGAATTTATGCATTATTTTGATGCAACGTTACACAAGTATCAATAAGTTCAACTCGTTTTAAGATTAAATCCGATAATGAAAACAAAAATTGATGTGGGTGGAGGGTTGGAGGATGGGGTGTGTGTTGTAAGTGTTGTCAGGGTTTAATGGGGTAGTTGTTTTTTTTTGAAAAAAGAAGAAAATTAATAACAATACATATAGGACAAGCGGAGCTCATAGAATAATGTGTGTATACCATTTAGAATTGGAAATGTAATTTAGAATTAGAATGTAAAAATACTATGTATTATGTACAATTAATTAATTATACCAATCGTGGTGAATATATTTAAATTATTTTACACATCGTCTCTCTTTTTATTTTTATTTTTTTTCATCGTCATCTTCTTCTTCTTCTATATCTTCTTTATCTTCTTCATCTTCATTATCTTCGTCGTAGTTTATTTTCTTCTTTATCTTCTTCTTCTTCTTATTCTTCTTAATTCGTGTTATTATTTTTCTATACTTCATTTGATTGTTTTTCTTCGATCGAAGATGAACAGTACAGTATTTGAATGAATTTCTCGTATCATATTTGTTTGTTTGTTAATATTTCATTTTCAAATGTGCCACATTGAAATGGCACATTTAAAAAAAATGCTATAATGATTGTGGTTTTTCTTATTAATTAAATATATTTTACACATCGTCCCTTAATTATCATAAATCTTTCAATCGAGTCGTATTAATTATTTTAATTAATCGGTTTTTATTTATCCCCATTCTTCTTATTCTTCTTCTTTTTCTTCTTCTTAATATTGCACATCGAAGTGCCAATTTATACTTTTATTTTTTGTTGACAGTATATTTTGTTTAACGATAGAACCGACACCATAAATGGTGCTGCCCGAATGAAGGGGAGGCTCCCTTTTTATTTTTTATTTTATTTTTTTTTTTTTTATTACATCTGGTATATTGAACATCAAAAACATCAAT